CATATGTTTTAGTGAATTATAGTTACTAAAAAAGGCTGTTCAGTTTTAGATAACTCATCATTACAAAAGCGGTACTATTTGTGTAACAGAGATTCCCCAGCATTAAAAATGGTGTGACTCATCATACTCCTGCTTCTAACCTCCTCCTTAAAGTGGCTAAATGTTTCAGCATCAGGCATTCTTGTTAGGGAAACTCTGAAGTGCTGAGAAAATAGAGAGGAAAATACCACTGACAGGAAGGAAAACAACCACAAAAACTCATGTAATGTAGACAAAGGGAGTAGTAACAAGAGCAAGAAAAGGACTTGGGAATAAAGAGGGCCTCTTGTGGGGCGGGGAGAGGAGGAAAGGACTATCATCAGGAAGCTCCACAGGGATTTGAAGTAAGACATTCTGCTGCTTTAATCCCAAGCAATTACGCTGGCACTATCTCCTGTTGCACAGAATGTGACACAATGAAAGCCACCCACACTATTAAAAATGAGAAGGAAAGACCTATTCGGTGACACCACGGCAGCACTATGAAACTTCCCAGTCCTTGCAAGACAAGGCAAAAGCTTTTATTTAACGTTCTGGCTTGTTGAGCACAGCTTCTCCTTCTGATGTGCCCCCGTGCTTACAATAAACAGCTTTTGGGGTTTTCAAAGGCCTCAGCTTTGCTTCAGTGTGTTTAATCACCTGCGAAAGCTGTTTATTACCTTGTATACTTCCCCCATCATGAACATTATCCTTTAAGTATAAGGCTTTATGGTGAGTCTAAGCAGGCCAAATGATGCAAGGGGACACGACACTATCAAAGCTGTGTGCAAGCACAGATGAAATAAATCTATATGAGGACTGCAGAGCACGAAAGTGGGAAAGATAAGCTACAGTAACACAGTGCAATGATTTCACAGGCACTCAGCTTATCCTTTAAAATACACCCTTGTTTGTTGAGAGCCACGCTGGCAATCTCCTACATGACTGTCAAAGAAAGATGTATGCATTCAAAGAAAATTATGAAGGGATCATGCTAGACAAAGCCAGAAAGGCTAATAAAGGGCATTTGTGTGTGCTTTACTTCTGAAGGCTTCAGCTAAGGTGCTGTAAAGCAGCTGCAAATATAATGAAAAAAAGCAGTATACTGAGAAAGTATTTAAATGAGAATATGTGGTATTACACAGAGCACTTCTGTTATCAATAGAGAAGGACTATGTAAAGAACCCTTTCTAAAAGGATATCAAGACCAGGAACAAACAATCAAAGGCTTTTTAATAGACAAGAGTAGTTTTTCCTCCTGCGACAGGCAGAGATAGAGAGATGGCTGCATTCCGTTCAGGGACCGTTACGTATTTTCTTGCAGGTATTTTTACTTTGGGTAAGAACATCATAATATCTAGGCATGTTGCTACCAGGTTTGGTAACAAGGATACAAAATGGTGACCAGCATAACATCAAACACAGAGTGACAGTGATACATGCCCTTGTTTCAAAAGAAGCCTCATCTCACTGGAATTCCTGACTTCTGCGTGGTCATGTTTTACAGAGAAAATGAAAACCCCTCCCCAGGGTCTTACAAAATGGAAAGATAAAGCTGACATAAATTGTATGTTGGAGGCAGAAGCATTGGGCCAAATACCTTTCCTTGCCTTTAATGTCCTGAAGTATTTCCACCCAGAAGGCATTTTACAGCTGTTGACAAGTTTGCCAATTCCTACTCAGTAGAAATTATGAATTTACTGCTCCCGTGTGTGGGTTTTTAAAACTCTATTTTCCTTTTATTTAGAACTTTGGCTGCTAAAAGACCTTTCCATGCCAGGAAAATTCTCACTTCTCTCTTATGTTTTAACTGAGCTTTTGTTGCATTGTGTGCATTTCTCCATTTCTCCCCTAATTTCTTGAATTATTGTATTCAACTCTAAGAATTTTTTAACTTCCATTGATTTCTCAAACCCACACTCAATGAGTTCTACTGTAAAAACATAGATTTAATAGCTAAAAACAATAGTTTGTTGCACACCCATTTATGCTATTTTTTATTTCAAATGTGTTTGGCAAAATGAGGTTTTGTTACTCCATAGCAGTATATAAGTAGTTAAAATATCCATTGATTCCTCAACTACAACCAAGTATTACTTGCTATCCCCTTCCAAATAGATCCCTTTGATTACCAGAAGCAACTCCTTTGAATGCAACAAGATTCTGTGTTAAAGCAAATCAAACAAAATTTGGTTAATGAAAACAGATGAACATGTAGGCCAGTGTTGGATCCTCAGCTTCAAAAGGTTATGCAGAAACACAAAGCAGACTCCAGAAGTTGTGAATTAAAGTTGCTTGCAAACCCTAACAGGCCAGATTAACAATCCTATTGGTTTACTACTGGTTTCTGCAGGTAGGGCTCCTTAAGAAAACATAATTTGGGTAACTGTGGCATAAAAGACCACTCAATGTGCTACTGACTTTAGGGATGCAAAGTTGCAAAAATAATTAATCTTGGGGTTTTAAGAAATATAAATCAGGATATTCATCATTATTTCACTATGCTTATAAGATGATCAGTTGAATTAGTAAGCTAAAACTGATGGCATTTGAAGCAAGTAGTGTTGCAGATGCTAAATAACCGGTGTAATCGTGAAATCAGTACAGGTTTCTATAAATTCCAATCTATCATGAAAAAATATATTTCCAGTGAATGCTTTACCGTTTCATCTCATCAACTTCACTGCAAATTTGCCTAGCTACCTTGAATTCACAACACATTTACTGTGAGGTGTCAAACACTCTGAACTGCTTTATAGTCAAGAAAGAATGGGAAAATTAATTTCATTAAACTGCAAGCATCTAAAAAATAGGTTTTCCTTACCAAAAAAACCAGTCATTTCCTCAGGCTGTTCTCAGATGCCTGTGTTACAGCAGATGAATACCAGTTAACCTTTCTGGAGAGAAGTTAGGATTAAAGTAACTAGAATCTGCTCAACAGCCAGACTCAAAGCGGTGTTAGCTGACAGAGCTTTCTGGAGGTTTCTAGTCCAGTCTGCTCTAAGCAGCAGTATTGTCAGTCCTGCCTAAAGCAATCCATGGCTTTATTTGGCTCAGTCTTTCTCATGGATTTTGTGTCAAAAAGGAAGAAGAGGGTGTGCCTTGCACATAGGCCATGCTCAGTATCTCTCACTGAATCCAGTGTAACAAAGGATACTTCCTACCTTTCCTTGGTGCCTTTTGTGTGCATTTGTGGAAATGTGGCACAGATGCAGACACAACTACATGAAGGATGATGCTAAATTTTCAGTTGTGGTTATTGAAATCCCATAAGCAGCCACAAGTCCTTTCCCCAGTCAATGCCCCATCCTGAAGCCATCAAAAGGCGGCAGCAGCAGCAATTCCATTTTACCAAAGCTAAGTAATGTACCCACAAGACTCAACTTACATATTACAGCTAAGTGACAACTTTCAGTCACAGCCACCCTCCTTCAGATGGAAAAGTTTTTTCCTGTGCTTTTAAAACAGCAGATAATGCTGAAAAACTAACCAGCAAGTGCTTAGATAGTTTGTATTTGTTGGCTAGCTGCACAGAACTTCCTCTCCCTTCTTAGAAGTACTACTGGTAATGTCATATTTGTTACCGTATGTTGCTAGCAAATGAATTAAATTTATGACTTAACCAAGCATGAAATTATGTTTTCAATAATAATCAATAAAAGCTGCATAAGCTAGGGACAATTACATATCTCACTGAAGAATCCAGTTTCACCAACGGTGTCCATTTCAATCGTTAAATAAAGTGTGATTGCCTATCTATAGTGCATCGAGACAGAAAGCTGATAGCCCAGTTAGCTTCAATGAGCCAATAGAGGATGCAGGTCGTAAAGCTTATTGATTGGGCTCAAAATACCATAAAGAGCTAATGAAATGTAACTTTCATTTTGCAAAGAATTGCAAAATACGTCTCTCTAATGCTTTGTGGTCTCTTGCTAGCATGGCAGATCTTGAGCACTATCCTCACTCCGGGATTGCTGTTCCAGTTTCCTTCTTGTTTTCAGCCAGTTTCTGTCCTAATTGTGTACTGGTCCTTACGCTCTCTGCAGTAGTATCATTCTTTTTCATGGCTTTTGATGTGCAAAGCTCCTCTTTCTTTCTGTCTTCTCATGCCATTAAAAAATGACTGCAGTCAGACTAACAGTAATATTTATAAAGTTTGTTGTAATAGTTTGACATACTCAATATTTCATCTAGCACAGCTGCTTTATTCTCCCATTACATACACCAGATGCTGTAATATTGCTCCTAATTTATGCATGGAGCGATCGGTTAAAGGCTGCTGCGGGCATCACACCGTGCAGCGCCGGCTTTTGGTTCAGCAGCACAGCTCTCCAGTAATCACCTCTCTGCTGCTCACAGGAAATCGACAGTCCCAAACCTTCTAAAGATATAACAGATGGTATCTGGCAGTGGCAGGAAGAAAAGTTTAAGTGCTGGCATGCATTTTGCTCCCCCCAGAAGCTGCTCTTTTTAGGTATCTCTTCAGTATATAGCTCATTGCACATCCCTTTATTCCTGTGATTAGTTACGCAGGGCACGATGGTGCACTAAAAAAAAGACAAACATTACTAGACAAAGGATTTTAGATGTTGAAACAGGCACATGGTTTTATAGCTAAAGGGCTTTCAGGAAAAGACCAGTCTAAATGGAAGAGGATATGAGCAAAATCCACTGGCCAAAATAATACTTAATCCTTTCAATGAGATAATCAGAGAGCCCAGAACCGAGGCATGAGACTGGACCAAGAATACATCATTATTGACAGCATTATCAGAGATCTGGAAAGAAAACAGGTTTTTACTCAAAGAATGATGGAGATGCAAGTGAAATACTCCCTGACTTGTGATGATCCCTGGGTTATCTAGGGCCTTGTAGAGGTTTTCATTGGCACAACCTTCAATGAACAAACATATTGTGGAGTCTGTGGTGAAGAATATATTCATAACTGTGCTTCTGATTTCATATTTTTTGCTTATTTGTAGAGTATGACAGGCAATTGGTAGCAGTCCAGGCAGCAATACATACAACATGAGAGTCGTTGAGAATGAAGTGTCGGCCCTTTCATGAGGATGTTATGCCTTCACTTGCAGAGGTGAGCATTCATTATGAAGCTGATTAAGGCTTCTTCCTGCTAAACAGTTTCTCCTCTTCTCCTGCACTGTTTTGGGAGAGTAGGAACAGGAGGTGCTAAAGCAGCTGGACACATATAAACATCTTGGTGATATTTGCAGTGATATTCTAAGGGGAACTGAGTAAACCTTCAACTTCAAACAGCATTTAAAGAACATGACATTTGGAAAAATATCAGTCCATTCAAATATCCTGAGCTCTTCAGGCAGAAGTTTCACCCAAACCATGGAGAGGAATGCAGAGCTGCCCACCATGGCTGGTTGAGCTCCTCACCAGCTGTGCAGTGCCAGCTCAAATACCCTGGTTTCACAATTCAAGCCAATAACCTCTGCTTGTTCTCCTCTGAGCTACCTTAGATACTTCTGAGCAGATTCTCTTGTAGTGCACCTTCGGCTTGTGAGACCACATTGCTGGAAGGGGATTTTAGCTGTGATGTTGCTCAGTACAATAGTCCTTACACATGGCCTTGCATTGCATTTTGCCTTGGTTTTCATGAGGTTTTGTGATGATTAGCTCCCTAACTTGAATTCATCACAGTGGTAAGAAAACAGCATACTATTTATGTTCAAATACTGCTGGATTTTCTACATGAAGAATGAAAACCCTTGGGTGAGACACTCCTTGGGTACATTAGGATTTTTATCCAAGCTCTATTATATTCTTATTACCTTATTAATTTTATTTTGCCTATGATGTTAGTTCTTAGTGCTGTGCTCTCTGATGCTTACTGAAAATGATGCATATCTGCTGGAGAAAACAGCAGCCAAAAACTGATGTGCAAAACAGTGATGTTAACAGTGGCAGTCTACAGGATATGCATTTTCTGTCTTTAAATATACAACTACGCCTGAAATTCCCTGTTTGTTACAAAAACTTTGATAGCTGCTGCCTTCACAGAGACACACTACTTGCAAAAAGATGTCTATGACAAAAGATACAGCAAATAATTTGTAATAGTAGTAACTAGCTGGTTGTTCCCTGCTTTCCGTGCACTAACTCCAGTATCTGCTGGCCAGTTTTATCCAACTTTGACAAAGAAGCAGGTATCTCAGTGTTTTGTGAAAACTGGGTAGAAGAAAGGACCAAACTGATTTTGTACTGAGGAACAGGCAGGTAAAACTCAGGCATTACAGACTGCTGTTAGCAGCAGCCAGCTGGACAATCAGAAAGTGCATTTGCAGGGCACAGAGGAACTTGGAAATAACCACAGCATTTTCTGCCTTTGTCTTCTAATGGAGGGGATCTGTGGAGTAGTGGAGAAGTGATAATGGGGAACAGAAGCTATAAAGAAGCTTAAAATGAGATTCTGTAGGAAACCAGGCTGCACTATTTCTTCTGTTTATGGAACACTGTGTTAACAGAAGATTGTCACAGAGGCCTCCCCAAAGGTCAAAAAAGATACAAAAATAGTTTACAACCAGTATGTAGCTACTTCAAGGACTGAAGATATTTGGGTGGTGACAAATGGTTAAGTAGATGGCACAAAATTCTGCACAAGAGTAAGGATCACTCCATCTGAAATTTGATCATAGATGCTGGCATACATCCCTGTGCTTCCAAACAATATCCTTCTGTAAATACATATATATATAAAAGGAGTGCAGTGTAAATTCTATAAAAAGCCTGGATACAACATCCATCTGGTGATGGATAGACAGTGGGCTTACTTGCTCTGAGGAGATTTCAAATAGAAAAGATAAAATGCTAAAGCCTAAACTTGAGGTTTAGAGGCATGGATTTACTGTTGGGTGGCTGATGAATCTGAGAATATCTCCAATATCACTGCCTCTCTCCATGCCAAATCCACCTTGGTGTTGAGGTTCTAGGTGCAGAGCTTATCTCTCCCTGGGTGTTCAAATTTGTCTCTGAGCAATATCAAACAAGGAGACCCATTTAATGGTGTTTCTGTGCTTGTAATTGAGCAATACCTAGTAAATAGCCCCATATGTATCAAACAGAGCTCCACATCCCAATCCATCTTCAGGCTACTGAAACCATGGCAGCCTGTCATTTTTAATGAAACACTGAAAGAAAAGATCAGGAATGTATATTTGCATTAAAAGCTTAAGTCAGTCAAAACTAGCTATTAATGTCCATCATATAAATAACATGCTTTACCAAACTAAACACAAAAGTACATTTATTTGGAAGGGCTGTGATGTCATCAAAAGTACATTTGTGTGATTAAAAATAATTCACATTTTAATCCTTTTTTTTTTGCTAAGCTTTTTTGCTTAGTCCATTTGAACGGTATTTTGGGTAGAGGTCTCAAATAGTTCTAGATGAAATAGGACTAGATAAAATACTTAGTTAGGGCTAAATACTTAGTTAAGGCAAAGTATCTTCAAAGGAGCTTTTAAGTGCTACCTCAGCGCTGCTGTGCTGCCCTTGGCATCGCCCTGGAAGATGCTGTGATTTAAAGCCGTATCTGTGATGTATTTCTTTGCACTGTTTGTGTAGCAGGGAATGGAGGACTGCAGATTGTGAGTACAGGGATTTAATACTATCAGGAGCAAATTAGGATGTTGATACGCTGCCTCCAGCTGCTGGCAGGGCATAGAAGAAAGGGAATAAAAGGTATACTCATTCCTTTTTGCTACACATCCAGGACAATAATAAGGACAATTAGTCCTTATTAACTCTTGCCCTATTAATCTTCTCTTCTTCTTCCCCTTCCTCCTCACCAAATATGTATACCTCAAATGTATCTACGTGGCAAGATGCCATGTAAGTTAGTGCATTCTACATAGCACCCTCTCCTGCTGAATAGCTTCCCTGAGGCAGGTGGCACTGAGCTGTTAAAATAACTGAAGAGTGCAGCATGCAGTATATTTTTTTCCTGAGCAGGATGTCACAGGTTAGAGATCAGCACTACTTTTATATGTATCTGTTGTACATTTTCACCTTGATTCCAAAAGCAGCTTTGAGCTAGTCAGACCTTGTGCATTCCTAACGTCTTTCCTGAAAAAACAGAATTAGCTCTTAATAGTCACTTCAGATGCTCCAAGTGCCTGTGAAACCATCCCCTCAGGGTGCATCAGCACCGTATGAAATTCCTTCAGATGGTTTCAAGTTATGATGCAAGTTACACAAATTAAAGTTCAAGAGAACTTTACAGAAGCCATCCCTTTACCTGTTCACTGCACTATTTAGAGCTGGAGCTGATGCAATGGAGCCAAAACATAAATTCACAAAATCAACATTGTTTTGACTTCCCTTACACATGATTCTGTTTATTCAGACTGGTGCTTTAATCAGTGTCTTACAGTTACTTATAAGGGGACCAAGAGCATTCTCAGGTTGGAGACAACACCAAGCTGGGCAGGAGTGTGATCTGCTTGAGGGTAGGAAGGCTCTACAGGGGGATCTGACCAGGCTGGATAATGGGCTAAGGCCAATTGTATGAAGTTCAACAAGGCTCAGTGCCAGGTCCTTTATGTGGTTCACAGCAATCCCATGCTCACAACAGGCTTAGGGAAGAGCAGCTGGAAAGCTGCCCAGCGGAAAAGGACCTGGGGGTGTTGATCAACAGTAGCTGAACATGAGCCAGCTTGTGCCCAGGTGGCCAAGAAAGCCAAGAGCATCCTGGCTTGTATCTGCACTAATGTGGCAGCAGGAGCAGGGCAGTGACTGTCCCCGTGTCCTGGGCACTGGTGAGACCACACCTCGAATCCTGTGCTCAGTTCTGCGCCCCTCACTCCAAGAGAGACATTGAGGTGCTGGAGCGGGGCCAGAGAAGGGAATGGAGCTGGTGCAGGGCCTGGAGCACAAGTGTGATGGGGAACGGCTGAGGGACCTGGAGAAGAGAAGGCTCAGGGGAGACATCGTCGTTCTCTACAACTACCTGAAAGGAGGTTGTAGTGAGATGAGGTCGGTCTCTTCTCCCAGGTAACAAGTGACAGGACAAGAGGAAACAGCCTCAAGTTGCACCAGGGGATGTTTAGATTGGATATCAGAAAAAAGTCTTCACTGAAAGGGTTGTCAAGTATTAGAACAGGCTGCTCAGGGCAGTGGCTGAATTGCCATCCCTGGAGGGATTCAGGAGATGTGTCAGTGTGGCACTTAGGGACATGGTTTAAAGATGGACTTGGTAATCTTAAAGCTCTTTTCTATCCTAAGCAATTCTATGATTCTGCAGTGAATTTTCAGCTTCTGAAAAATTCTGGCTAATAAACTGCAGAACAAACCTCACATGTTCGCTCATCTTTGTCTGACTGCTGAAATGACGAAGGATAGGATACAGCTTTAGAAAAAAGAGGTAAGCTAAGAGTGTCATACACATGCACACAAAGGCAAACATACAAACATTTTTCCTGTAAGGAAATTGTTGTAAATTGAGACAGGAAAGATGAACTGGATCCTAGAAAAGGACGTAACACATTGGTCATTTTCTACTGATGTATCAAGATTCTACGCTTTATTTCTATCCTTCTATGCAAGTTTACAAAAGGAAATGTTTCTTTATCTTAATCATAGTTAAAACAAACTCCCCAATGATTTTTGGTGGTCAAGTTTAACTTCCTAGTTTTTCAGTTTGAAAGCTAAAATTTCCATTGTCAGACCTACATTGATAGTTTGGGTCGGTTCCTTGTTCAAGGACACAAGCAATTGCTTGATAAAGAAGCTGGCGGTAAAACTGTTCAGTAATAATTGCTTTCAGCTGAAAGTTACATAAACCAAACAAGAGTTACAGATTCAAACACCTACCCAAGTGACACAGGGGCTACTACACATCTGAGCAATACTACTATGGGCTGTGATTTTTCATCACTTTCTGTACAGGAACAACATATCCCAGATAAAAAAAGGGTACACACAAAAGGCTTATTTTCTCTTTCCAGTTTTATTGCAAGACCTGCAGTCCCCTGTAATACACAGTCCATTACAGTAAGAACAGCTTCCTACCCCCAATTTATGTATGTTTTCCTGCTGTGCTCCAGCATCATCTACTGATGGTTTACTCAGCCTGTTAAGCGACATGCAGCTTAAATCCCCCCACTGCTGTACCATCCAGATCCCAGTTTGATGAGGAGGTGCTGGTTTTGACTATTAGACACAGTTCACTGACCACTGCTTCAGGTTTTTCCCCTTAAGCTGCTTTCTAGCATCTGATCCTAAAATACCTTTATAGGCAAGCTTCAGTCTTCAACAACCAGTTGAATAGTACCGGCAGGAGAAAAGTGAACTTGCACTTCTCCCTAGCACCAAGCTGCTACCCATTATTCTGAATGGCACATCTGACTGCCACAGCAATGTGCATTTCACCCTGGCAGCAGGGTTACTCATCCCCATCTTTTCTAGATTCTATCAGAATTGACATGCATCTGTTATAAAGTACCTCTTCCAGCTGCAAGAAATCCCTGCCAAACGTGTGGTGATTTCCTCATTACATTCAGTGTAAAATGATACAGGGACATGTGACCAAGAAAACTATTATCTGTTGTGCATCTTCCCCAGATATCTTGATTTGGGTAATATGATTCAACTTCTGTGAACAAAATGACATGGAACATCCCCCTCCATTCCAGCAGGCTCTCAGTTAAAAACATTCCTTTGATATTGTGCCAAGAATACCCGCTTTCAGGAAAATATTATCATCTTTTACTAAGTTTCAATATGTGATACATTTATTATTTTATGTTTGTAACCAAAAAAAAAGCAAAGCTTGAATCATCCTTCTAAGAGCAGGAAATGTGTTTTAGCAATGTTAGAATACAAAATTATACTCCATTTAAAGCATATGGTCTTAGGAAACTTGCACACTTTTACTATGACAGCAGCATCAGTGTGAGAGAAAAGAAAATCTTCAGCCTCTTCATATCACTGGTTATAGCCCCAAGTACAGAATCAAGTACAAAGACAAGATGTATGTTACTTTTACTTCTGGAAGGCTTGAAATAAATATGTAGGTTTATAAACTGACCTGAGGGCAAGATGAAATAAATCCAAATAAGATACTATCAAAACAATGCATCACGCATATTAGAAGATAGGAAAAGGGCATTAAGAGCAACGCTGGTACTTTTGAAAATCCCTTTGAATATATCAAACTATCAGTAGTTGGAGGCCAGCTGCAGCTCCAGTCGTTTTTTTGAAGCTACGTTATTAGAAACTGAAAACAAGAAAAGAGCTTTTTGAAATAAATAGTTGAGGAGGTAAAAAGGCAAGCAATGGACAAGACCTTTGACTAGTATCAGTTAGCCCAGCTTCAATATCACAGACCCTTTAACCTTCTAACTAATCTACTCCCCAGTGTCCATAACAGTGGTCCCCCTTGATGTTTCAGATAACATCCCACTGAATGCGTTTCCAGGGTTTGCACATGCCCCTCTGCAAGGGTACCAGGGTTGCTTTTAATTACTACACAGCTGCAGCTGAGATATGGTTTATATATAATAACAGCATATAATTGGAAAGGTACTGCTGCCAAAATGAGAGCATACCCTGAGCTCCAAACCAGGGCACACCAAAGCTTGTGGTGTAAACCTGCTGAGTCACTTCTTGCCCAATTTGGGATCTGCTCAGAAGTTTCCCATGGCAGACAAGTGGGCTTGTTTTACGACACTAGACAAGATTAAACGTCAAGCATGGCAGTTATACTGGAGCAAGAAAACCTTGATGCTGTAAAGAAGCTGTAAAAATACATCTTTGTGCCCACTCAGGACTCCTTGATGATTTCAGTGGTGCTCCACTAGCACAGACAACCAGGAAATTTGAACACATCAAGCTGCACATCTGAGTCCCCACATATTGATTCAATCTCAAGATTATCACTGAAGTGATAAGGAAACAGTAGATTATCACTGAAGTGATAAGGAAACAGTACAGAGACAGACCTAGACCCTAAATATATGTTTTTCCCTGAATATGGTCTAACAGCAAAGTTTGCAAGCATTTCTGAAATAATAAGCATTTTTTCCTGTTCTGAAGTCAGTGATGAGGACGAACAAACAAGCTACTTGAACCTGCTGGCTTCATTTTATGTTCACACATCTGAGAACATGCAATACTGCACCACTATTAGAAGTGGCAAACAATTATTTAAGCTGCAATACTATATTTCATTTTTTATTCATTAAAGTTTTTGATGTTTGCACCAGACTTTTGACTTTCTGAAACTGCTCTAAATCAAACCAGCATATTATTAAGCTCTCCAAAAATTCATCACAAGTCAGTTTACAGATGACATTGATGTCTTATTGCTATCCATTCCTCCTGGACCATTTCTAACAATTCATTTTTTATATTCCTGCAGTGCTGAAATATGGTTCACACCAATATCTGTCCTTTTAGTAATCACCAAAGCAAAGCTTGGCAGTTGTCATATATTACACTCTTGAGAAAAATGCTAGTAATACTCTGAATTGATTGAACAGCATGGAATCAGAACTAGCTGGCAGAGAAACCATTTAACTGATTTCAATTCATAAATCTCTTTTCTCCTCTCTTATTTTAGTTTAGAAACTGCTAAATATTGCCATTATCTTGTGATGCCTAGAATGAACCAATTATTTATAAAGACATTAATTTAAATAATACGTGATTGCAGTCATTAATATCTATATGAGAAGGCAGACTTATGGATTGTACCGAGTAACTTTTATTTATGCACACGGAGCTAGAGAATGTATGTAGCAGCCTTTGGCCAGCAGACATCGATTTGTTTATTTCCCAGGAGGTCAACAGCAGGTCCAATGTCCTTCCCTGTCTTAAAAATACAGGGATTCTAAACAGAACTTTACCTGCTTTAGACAACAATTTAAGTCCTTGCGCATGACCTAAAATGATTAGTAAGACAGCTGCTTATGAGACATGGTTTAATTAACTGTCAGGGATGCGCTTAGTGTCTGAAGCAAATACTGTTACTTAACGCGTTTAGGAGGAGAAAAAAGAAATATGGCCAAGGGCTGTAGCTCAGTCTTAGAGAATTTTGGAAACATAGCTCTTGAATTTAAGTCCACAGAGAATCAGGAGATCAAAGGCAGATAGATGAATTTTGAGGGAGTAAAGGCAGAGCTCTTGGAGTAGAGACACTGCCAGCACTTGTGAATGGAGAAAGAAAACTCAGCAGAGAACTAGCTCAGTGGGAAGTGAGGTGGTTTGTTCACCCTCTACTATCATCCATGACAGTCTGGAAATCATAGAGTGGGTTAGAAGTGACCTTAAAGCTCATCCAGTTCCAAGCCTCTGCCACGGGCAGGGACACCTTCCATTAGACCAGGTTGCTCAAAGCCTCATCTGAAACCTGTAGTGTTTGCTGCCTGTATGTCACTTGACTACACTGGTCTGTCAG